CTGGTCACTACTCCACTGGCCAAAGCCACGATTTTTTGTTTTTTGGGTTTGGGGGGGGGGCAAATTTTTCTGTCCTATGCAGGAAGACTAAAAATAATTCAAAAGAAAAGAGATTCTTCCCTCTTGTTTCTAAAAGCCCACATGTTCTTTAAAATTAGAGGCTTAACTCTTAAGTCTGGTTGGAAAAAAAGGGAGAAAAAGGCAGCAGTTGATGCAAGATGCTATCTAGTGTCATGACAACACAAGATGGCAGGTGATCACATGACAGGGTAACATGGCAGCACTTGAGGCAAAAACACCAAACCAGAAGAAAAATTCATTTACAAACTGGGATAGGTGAAGACCAGGCTGATTTCCAAAAAAGGTGTATAGCAAAGGAACGCATGACCACAAGGCATGCCAAGGTCTAGGTTGCACACATGGTACAGCAAACTCTCTGGCTACTTAACCTGTACCTGCGAGTGAGCACAAGCAAGGGAAAAGTCTATCGCAGTTGGAAGAAAACAAAGGCAGTAGATTCCCTCCCCAGCCTCCATGCTGGACTAGGAAGCCCTTCCTGGCACCGTAAGGAAAAGCCTCACAGATTACCACCTTAGGGGAGCAAGACAGGGAAGAAGAAGGAAAAAACCCTTCATGACATTTCAGAGAGAAGCATAAGTAAAAAAATATTTTTAAATGTACGTGGGTCTTTACCTGAAACTTCTTCTACTTAAGTCTCCTGGTCAGCTAAGCCAAATAAATGTTACCGGGTTTTAGAGTGCTAGCATCTTGGACAAAGAACTCAGCAAAACAAACAAAAACAGCGATGAAGTTTGTTTGAAAAGTTTTTTAAAATATTAAAAGTGGTTGTATGCAAAAGAAACTATCCTTTGCTGTCTTAAATGAAATAACGCAATGTAACATGGGGATAGCGTAGTGGACAGGTATTTGTGGCTACAACAGAAACACAGAAAAGATATGGCACAGGAAACAGTACTGAGGAATACTCACGAAAACTTCTATGCACCAGTGTCTCTCCTAAGTTGCTCCAGTCTCCTAAGATCTCACTTTCTATTTTCAAACTACATGATAGAGAGTAGTATTGTTATTGTTGTTGGGTTTTTCTCTCTGAATTTTAAAAGCAGTGAGACTGGTGTCTCTTCATGGTTTTCTCATTTCTCGGAGGAAATATTCTCTCTCCTCTTCCCTCCCTTCCTCCTCCTTTTGCTTGAGTCAGAGTGGTGGCTTCCTTCACTAGGATCGTCCTTTTTCTTTCACTAATATACACGCTGTCCCTACACACGATAAATAACGTGGACGTAATGGTACTAGGTTTCCACAATGGTGTCCCTAGAGGCAAGAGGACATTTCCCATTAGTCCCAGATGAGAGTTTCTAGAGGAAAGCCTCTGAGTGAGGGCATAGAGATGAAATACAGTGGACCCCAGAAGCTCAGAGTGTTCCTGGAGCACTCTCAAATCATGAAACACTGTGAATTTCAGATATGGTCAGGAAAATGCCTATTTTTATAGTTTAAACACTATGCTATGTCTCCTGCATATGTAATTTAAGATAATAAAATGCTGTATTAATAAAATGTACAGGGTGACTTGGCAGCATCTTAGGAGGGATTTTAGGGCTTTAAGAACAAAACTGAGAACCCTTGAGATAGCTTCATGCTATACAGAAACCTGTTATTATGCAGGAATGTTGGTGCATCTGCCTGAGATTGGCATCAGCCAATCAGCAGCAAGGAGAACTGAATATTGCTCTTGGATTGGCTTCTTGTGAACCTTCCACCAAAAAAACAATTGCAGAGGATATTTGCAGTTTCCTTGACATTATGGAAGTTTCCATGAACAATTGTTAGCTTCAAAGGAAATCTGCAAAGACGGAGGCTTCGAACTCTGAACCACAACTTCGACTGTATTGAGGTTGGCTAGTCTTGTGGAAGGAATTGTTATTATCAGAAGGGTACTGGAGAATTGTCCTAGGTCAAAAGCCATAGGCCACATTGTACTCGTTCTATTTCCCCATAGCACTGTTGCGTTATTTGCAAATAGTACGAACTTCCTAAATGTTTATTGAAGGAAACAAAGGAATGAATAGTTGAATGAATGAGTCAATCTCTGACGCAAAGTGTCTTCCTGTCTGCACAAAAATCTTCAGCCTCTATCGCAATCCTCCTAGGACTTTGCTAACTAACTATAACATCCAGGGACACTGCTGGTTAGCCATTCCATGGCCAACTGTCTGTGAACCTTAAAGGTACAGACACACGAAAGAATGCGACTGAAATACTAAATGTTTCACTATCTTTTGTTGTCTTCAGTCTGGGTTTGTTAGGTCAAGAAAGGTCATGAATGATCCGTCAGAAAACCAGAAAGCCTCGTGGTGAGTCAGGGCTTGGGGGCTAAAACACAGTTTTGAGTGTGGGCAGCTTGTCATCACCTGCATGTACCTGCCTTGAGAGCTACCGCAGCTTCTGATGACCTTACCACAGGCTGCACCTGACCCACAGCCTCTCCTGAAGAGGGGTGATTCAGCAGCCACCTTTGTGAACATTTTTCCTGAGATCTTTCATTCGCATTCACTGTGTTCAGAGAGATCTGAGTTTCAGAAACCCTGCATTGTTTCATTCTCACAAGAGAATTATTTTCAAAGCCCATCATCATTTCATTCTCACCAGGGAGGTATTGCTTTTGTCACTTGTCAGAATCTTATGGAAAAAAAAAGAAAGAAAGGCTAAATAATATCTGCAGTTCATATAGCTTCCCAGACTAGTGCTAATCCTATCAGCCTGCTTCTTTCCTAGGGCCTGCTTCTTTCTCCTTTAGGGACACATTGCCCGTGCTCAGTTAATGCCAAGTTATAGGGGGAAAAAAATCATGCAGTATCCTACACATAGTCAAATAATCTTCCTTTTTTTCTCTTTCCCTCATTCTGTATGCTTGTGTGTGTGTGTGTGTGTGTGTGTGTGTGAGTGTGTGTGTGTATCCCATTGGTTTTGTTTCTCAGTACTAAGCTAAGCAAGAAACATTGATAACTTACGCTAGGGATTCTGACAGTAGAGATGATGACGCATGCTTGTATTCAGAGTAGGGTTTGAAGGTAAAGTCAAATAAGACTTGGTGATGAATTAAGATTAGAGCTAATGAAGGAAAAAGATAAACTAATTAGGTTGGCTGACTTGCTTTGGGGTACATAGAAAAATTAGAAATATCGATATGCAATAGAAATGGATCTCTGTGGATTAACTGCACCCCACCACTGTGTATCGAGCTCAGCACCTTGCACTTGCTAGGCAGGTGTTGTGCCACAGAACTATATCCCCAGCCAGACTTCTGTTGAATCAATGGGCTAGAATCCAACTTGCCACTGTAAGAGAACAAGAACCTTTAAAACTCACTATGGTATGTACATGACTGAAAAAATTGCTTCTGTGAGTTGGGGAATGATGTATTTGGGAAATTATAAATATTTGTAAATGAAGGGTCAGTGAGATCCTTCACCACAGTGATGGGAATCATTCCCCAGGAATTTTGTTACTGCTGAGTCAAATACATGGGTACTATCTAAATCTCATTTCTGATTATAAAGGGATCTTTTTGAAGTCTCCACCAAGGAAACTCTTCTTTGCCGTTAGAAACAATTACTTTTTTTGTGTGTCTCTTTTAAGACAGGGTCTCTATGCAGTTCAGGCAGGCCTTGAGCTCACTTTGTAGCCCAAGCTGGTCTCAAACTCACAACGATCCTCCTGCCTCAGCCTCCTGAGTGCGGGGATTACAGCCACCATGCCCGGCAACAATTACTTTCTTTACTTACTTTTTCCTAAGTTGACAAGTGAAACCATTTTGCAGGTACTAAAAGCCATTAACAGGAAAGACTTGAGCACTAGAAAGCAGATGAAGCATTTTAATGGTAAATGAGTAATTTGAAAACTCCTAAACAAATATTGCTCAGGGACTCCTTGTTCCTTTAATGAAGGGAATTATTCTGTGGAAAGGGGCTATACAGGGTAAGGATTCACAAAGCTAAACTGTAAGTGCTAACTTGACTCTCTTAAGGATTCTATGACGTCAGGTCATTTATCATCTCCGGCCCTTCATTTCTTTACTTATGAAGTGAGATTAAAAATCTCTGCTCAGTCTGCCTTATAGAAACTTCATGAGCTTTAAAGTAGATAAAGACAGTAATACCACTTGACATTTTTTAAGTCCTTACTGTGTGCCAGGCATTGCGCTAAGTAACACAATGAAGCTACTGTAAGCCAGACACCATGTTCAAACCCTTTTACTGTCATTGCTCACAACTCTGAGGGTCAGTAATTTGGGCTGGACATAGCTGAAGGTTATTTTTGCTTATCTTGTCAGCGATCAAGGATGAAGCTACAAATTTCAAACACTTCTGGTCTCCTAACTATTCCTCTCTCATTTGTCTGGTCATCGATAGTGTCTATTATCTGGTGGCATGGTGGAGGCGGGGAGGTCTAGGAGGCTGAGGGGACTCCAGCTGGAGGTTCATTTATTTTTCATTTGCTCTTGCATATTCCAATAGTTCAATAGTTCAGGCTTTTTTGCGTGGGTATTTCAGGCCAGAGTTCTAGGAGGTGAGAGAGAAGCTGCAAGATACCCTGCATTTGAGGCTGGAGAGTATCGCATGTTATATCAATGATTTTTTTGGTCAAGACAAATCACAGGTACAACCCAGATCCAAAGAAGAGGAAACAAACTCCATTTTTGATGAAGGAAATGGAAAAGTCACATTGCAAATGGTCTTGACTGCCAGGATAGGAGGAGTTATCATAGCCGGTAACAATTTATCATATTTGCCAACATGTAACTTCATTCATTTTTCATAGTAACTGTGTTATTCTTATTGGATAGATAAGGAAACAGAAGCACAATGAGGTGGAATAACTTGATCAAAGTCACAAAATCACTTAACATCTACATTGGAATATAAATCCTGGTAGTTCAACTCTTGAGGTCATGCTCATCTTGTTTTGTTTCTTTTTAACAGCTTCACAATGGAAACCACATTGTGACAGAGATTCCTTGTGTCTACTTATGTTCAGAAGGATTTTGTAGGAGGCCATGTATCAATGGAGCACCTACACTGGACCCAAAAAACCAATCCAAGAGAGAGCTTAGTCCCAAGAGCTGAGCTTTGGTCCTAGAAGGTCTGTAGCCAGTTAACTAATTAAGTCATAAACAACTAGTTAATCTGTTACCAATTGTTATGGTTTGTGTTCTGATGCCCCACCCAGCCTTCTGTAATGATGAACACAGCTGAATCTAGTGTTTGTGATTGGTTCATTTGTCTAGTGCTGGGATTGAGTGCTACACCCACCCAGGGGCATCACCCTACCTTGGAGCCAACTGAGTATGGACTGAAAGCTCCAAAAAATTGTAAGCTAAATAAACCTTTCTTTGCTTCACTTTGAGCATCAGGTATTTTGTCTCAGCAACTAGAGAAAAGTAACCAGCACACCAGTTGACTGGTTCATTGACTAGGCTGTAGCTAGTTTAGTTGTCTATGGCTAACTTCTGATTTCTTATAAATGCCATGCATTCACATTGTTAGTGGGAGGTTTGGGAAGCTGCCCAATTTATAAATCATTCTTATTTAACTGGTCTAAAATTTTTTCTTTTTACTCTTTTATCTAGTTCTTTCTTTGTATCCTACTTCTTAACCCTTACAGTTTAATTGGGACCATGTAACTGGTTCTGAGTCAAAAGAAGAGCTGATATAAGTTCTTCTTTCTTTCCTGTTCCACTTTTGTGGTCTTAAAAACCAAGTGTCAAATTGTAGCTAGAAGTAGACTGTATTGCAAAGCTCCATTTAAAAGGAAATCACCTGACTTATAAATGAAAGAAAATTGTACTTGCTAAGCACCTGAAATTTTCAAATTTGTTATTTCAATGAAGTCAATTCTCTCCTAAAACAAATTTCCTTGTATTACTCCACTTATAAAGTGAATTGATAATCATAAAAATTGGAATTAAGCAAAAAAGAATAAAGAAAGAAATCTAAAACCACTGTACATCTTACAAGCCAGGGTTGGCAATTATATCCTTGGTAAACATAACTCCAGACAATTATGCATAAAAAAATTCACTATTTATATAAATAGGTTTACACTCCTACATTGCCTTCTGTTTTCATTAAAAGTGTCATTCCAAATACTGGTGGTTAAGAAAGAAACCTAGGGGGCTGGGGATTTAGCTCAGCGGCATAAGTGCCTGTCTTGAAAAGCAGGCAGTCCTGAGTTTGATCCCCGGTACTGATAAAAAGGAAAAAGACCAAAAAAAAAAAGAGGTCAGTTTTCCTTGAAAGCAGGCAGTCGTGAGTTCGATTCCCGGTACCCATAAAAAGGAAAAAGACAAAAAAAAAAAAAAAAAAAAAAAAAAAAAACTTAATAAACCTACTTTAAAAAAAAAAAAAAAAAAAAAGAAAGAAACCTAGGTAGGTACTTCTATGAAATCTTCAAAAAAGGAAGTTTTGAGAATATTTATGAGTATCTGTTCTATATCTGAGTACTTGAGTTCAAATTCTCACTATACTACTGACCTTAAGGAAGATATTTAGTCTTACTGTGCTTTAATTCCTTCAGTTGTGAAATGAGGGTTGATACTCATCCTATTTCACAGTGAGGATTCAATAAAGTTTATTTCACATTCTGTACATCATCTGGCATGTAGTTAACACCAAATCAATGTTAGCTCTGCTATCGGGATAATGCATTTACCCATCCCACTGAGATTTACAGAGAAAATACACTTTTGAAATAATGTCTTTCTTGTAACTCCCTGTGAGGCATCAGGGTATGGTGCAGGGTGCCATGGAATAATGGTTTAGTCTCCACACTGGCATCAATTTCAGGAAGACAAGTCCATTTGGTATTCTTTTTATTAGTACATCTTTGTAGTATGCAGTGTTTACATTTCATGTGTGGAGTTGTTACATGCACACATGACACACATTTTAATTCCTTTTTTTCACCCCCGCCCTTTCCCCTTCCCTCTCCCTACTTTCTTGATCTGCTTCTGCTTTGAGAAAGATCCATTTTTCTCTTTCCCACTATCTTTTATTTTGCTCTCTGTTTATACTTTGTTTTTTTTTTTTTTAATCGGTACCGGGGATCAAACTCATGACCATGTGCTTGCAAGGCAGGCGCTTATGCCGCTGAGCTAAATCCCCAGCCCCTGGGTTTCTTATATAAGAGAAACCATGCAATATTCAAGCTTTATGTCTTCATGAACAACAGTATTTTGTTGGTGACTAGATGTTGTGTCTGGTCATTGATGGTCCTGACGTGAACACCTCCTCTTCCTAATTCAAGTCTTCCATGAGTCCAGTGGTTCTCCCAGCCTCTGGTCCCTCACTAGGGCACACATAAACTATCTGGCTTCTTAGCACACTATGTATAGACCATAGTGAGCAAAGAACAGCACCTTTGCCACATTTTGGCTGACTCATAAGTCTTGGCAGAATCCTTGCATGGAGGTCTCATTTCATGATTTCAGACAGGAGTGGATCAATGTTCTTTCTGTTTTGGCAATTTATTTAGTTTAGGTGGCAGCGTTCTGCCCTCCAGGGCAAAGTCAGTCACCGATCAGATAATTTGCTTTCTTTTCCTTTTTTATCAGTGAGAGCTATGTTGGACATGTTTTTCCTTTACCTTCTTGTGTAGAGGAACTTTTTTCTGTACATTCCTTATGCCACCAAGCCTCACAGCTCAACTGTAATGACAGAGCAGTTTTAATACTTGCATGCTGAAGAAACTGCATGGCTCTAGATATGAGAGGGATACATCAGTTACTCAAGTAAACTATGAATACAAATATAGTTGTTAATGTTCTTAAATATTACCCCATTATAATACCATCATCATTATCATATAAGATGAGTTTATTTCTCTCCCAATACCCTTTCACTTTTCCAATGAACTTGTGTTGCCTGTGGGCTTCTGGATTTTCTAGCTTTTTTGCTTATTAAAAAAACAATTAGAAGACAGTCCACCGGCTGTTTTCCTGGAATGCAGGAAGTGAACATTATACCATATGGACTCTTTAGCACCCAGCCAGATGGCCCCAGACACACACAAGCACTGGCTCCTCTGGCAGCTGTGCGCCATACACCACTGGGATGGCTGCTTTGCTTGACAATGACGCATTTAAAAATTTTTCTTCATTACATTTTTTATTGCACAGATAAAAAATTAATTTGAGGTCTTTCTGTTAACTACAAAGGGATCTATAATTTCTCTCTCAGATTGTTCGTGGTACATAGTGCCCAGTAATGACTAATGAATGTTCCTGTCAGTGACAGCTACGTAATTAATGCTCTCAATTAGCAGTGCTGACCTTTCACAGATTGAATAAAAACTCTGGCTAGATGTCAGGGGTGTCAGTAAAACCTGCCTTGAATATGGACTGATGCTCAAATACCATTTTTGTCATGTATTTCATTAAACTAGACATAAATACCTTTATTTGAGATAGATTTGCCAGATCACCTATGAGTTCTTTTTTATATAGGGAAAGGAATTTTGGGTTTCTGTAAATCTGAGAAAAAAAAATTCTTACCAAATGGGAGATAGATACTAACAAAGGTGTGCAGCAAACCAAGATAAACTTTACTGTTGACTGGGGCCTTAGGAAGACGAATATGTGGAAGAGATGTCTACTGCATTGTGATAGGTCAGGAATAGGCCAAAAAGTGATTGAAGTTTTATGTGTCATTTAGGGGGCTCTACCACAGACTTTTTTCAATGGAGTGGACCAGCATTACCTCACAAAGACTGACGCTGGAAACGAAGAACCAGTACTTGTATGCTTGGGTTAATTGTACCTGGTAAAATTGAGAGGGCATCTTGGCTTGCTTTCCTAGCTGCTGAATCTCAATCTTTGAAAAATGACCTAGTGTCTAGCACAGAGATAGATGCAGGAATGTTTATGCAAAGATCCCTGTAGGGGTCAGGCAGGTCATATCATTGCAACAGCCATCAGCTGACCTGTGACTCTGTTTTCTCTAGCGTGTTCAGGAGGTTGTCTCCAGCCCACTGCTCTCAAATCAACTCAGGGATTCACAATCAGAAGAGCCATCAAGGCTGATATTTTAAGGAGGAGCTAAGAATGAACACTAAGATGGATCAAGGTTCAAAGGTTGGAAGAGAGTTCCTTAATTGGGAAGAGCCATTATGAGAAAGAACCCTGGCAGCATCACACCTGGAGAGGTACTTCACGAATATGCGCTGAGTCATCAACTGGCTGTCGTGACCAAGACCTAAATGTTCTGGGTGTGCTTAAGCCTTTTGAAATTAAAACTAATATGTGTGGGTATGCACCTTGTGGTATGCACTGTATAGTACTAGGATCTACTGATTCTAAAGTGATAGCATGGAAATCCTGTTTTTAGTATGATGCTAATGGCATCTTCTCAAAAGTACTGTCTTCAAACGAGTTATTTTTGATGATGGGGGATAAGCTTTAGAGAAAGAGATAAAAGAGTTTAGGAGGGAGGGACTAACATCATCAAGGAATGAAAAAGAAAAGCACCAATGAAACAGTCTCTGCCTATGAAATAGAAACACAGGAGAGAAGCAGCAGCCAGTTGATAGGAGGTAGGTTTTTGCATTATTTGGAATCTTGTACACATGAGTGATATTCAGCAGGCCCAGAGAGATAGGCCTTGGGATACAAGTAATGGCCAAACTCTGATGAAATATACTCTTGGGCATTTTTCTAATAAGTTTATGTTTATTAAATGATTCCAGAGTATAGTAAAGCTCTGGGGCTTTATCTAACAAATTGTTCTCTCCTAAATCTCTCTTAAGAGCTCTGGTTAGAAGCTAGTAGTGTCTCACCTACCCAAAGTCCACTTTGTCTGGCTCGCACACTGGTGAATCAGCAGAACTAATCCTGGCTGGTCTTTTGCCCTAGAGAAAGAGGCAGGCCTGGTGATCATAGAGGGGGAAAGAGGAAAAAGCCTGAATCATCCTCAACAATAGGTTTCACTGCTGACCTCTGTTGGAGTCAAATATAAATTTCTTCCTCCCAGTGAAGCTCGGTTTTCAGGTTTAAATTAAATCCAGTTCAATAGACTATATACAAGGCACCTATCCTGGAGTTAGCACTGGACTCTGTGGAAAACAAAATAGTATAAGAAACTGTAAAAAGCAAAAAATATTCCAAAAGAGGTCAACATAAACAAGTAAATAATAAGATGTTTAAATGGGCAAAGAATTTCTTGGCACTAAAATTGCAAGAAAATTCAGAGAACAGAGATACTATTTTTATGAGAAATTTTGGAAAGAACTTGGTATTTGAAACTCATGCTTTTGGAATAGACAATAGAGGAGATGAAGAAAGCAGAATGGTCTTATTAAGACTATTAAAAAAAAAACCTGTCAAGATAGCTATTTGATAAAGGTAATCAATAGGCATGAATCTCTCACCAAAATGAATTCTTCAAGGGTTGGTATGATGGCTTAGGCCTCTTGATACCCATGCATTTGAAAAATCTGAGTGCAAAGGACAATGAGAGATTCAGACAGGACCTCTGTCTTCAGGCAGTACAGTCTACAATCTAGTGGCAGAGACAGGTAAATAGACACATGATGCTGCAGAAACAATAAAATTGATGAAAGCAATACTGATCCTTGTTAAAAATAATGGTTAGTTACAGACCACTTTTTCTGGAAAGTGGAAAGGAAAAAACCACATTTTTACACTAATTTATTTTTTAATATAAAAAGTTCAGCTAAGTGGACTGTGTGGAACCAGTACGTACACACAAACACATACACACACAAGCACCTCACGAACTTGCAAATCAAGTTGTCTGCAAAGATTACTTGTCTCTGTTAAGTTAACAAGCCCATCAGCCAGACAAGCCTCACCCCCTCCTTTCCATCATTTGAGTGGTGACTATTTTCCACATCACAGACCAGCTGAAAATGATATTTCCTTGGCTTACTAGGAGAGACAGAGGAGACAGTGCTGGATGGATGAACAGTCCTGGAAGTTCCACCCTGTGGACCAAAAGGACCAGGATTTCAAAGCATCTTTAATTCATTTGGCCAATTAACTAGAAAGCCCTACTTTCTACAATCAAAGAAAAGTCGGCTTTTGCAAAAATACTGTAACCCTCTTTTCCTCAAACTTGCTTCTCCTACAAGTATTAGCATTGCTGTTACTCCATTTTTCTAGCTATTCAAGTCAGAAATTTTGAGTTTATCGCACACACACAGCATCCATTAGATCCGTCAGCAAGTCTTACTGATTTTACAAGGTCCAACACTTTTTCCATTTCCTCTGGTACCATCCTGGTCCATATTTTTCCTTTCCCTGGATTACTTGAAACACTTTTTTTGTGTTGCCTCATTTTTTCTCCTGTCCCTCTGTAGTCCATTCTCAGAATAGCAGTGCACATGATGCTCTTAAAATGTAAGTCCAATAATAATAGGTCCTTGCAATTCTCCAGGGGTTCCCCATCTCACTTAAAGGCCTGATTTCTCATAATGGCTTATAAACCCCACCTCCAACGGCCTAGCTGATCTTGCCCATCTGCTCCTCTCCCTACCTCTCTGACCTCGTGTTTGACCTTCTCCCCCTCCCTCATTCCTCTCAGCCTACACTGGCCTGCTTGCTCCCCCTTGAACACACCAGACGCATTCCTGTCTCAAAACACTGCATTTGCTGTGCCCTGCCTGCAGTGCTCAGATAGCTCTACGGCTTTCTCTTATCTGTCCTCAGGTTAAACACTGCCCTCTTAGGGGTCCATGTTGAATCCTACTGTTTACAATTGATGCCCGACTCCTCAGCTAACCCCATTAGATCCTGCCCCATTTCTCTAGCAGCCAGCCCTTATTACTATCTAACATTTTACTTGTTTATTTTGCTGCCTGACTGCCTCATTTGAATGTTAAAATTCAGCAGAGCAGTAATTTATTTCTCAGTTGTGTTCATGTTGGCACCCAACATTCTATGAAGCTGAAGTTATCTGTCTACTATCTGTCTACATAAAAATCATTGAGGCCAAACACAGAGGATTTGATCCAAAGGTTAACATAGACATGGTCCTGAAATATTACAGCATTAAAACTTTGCATATAGATTATTTAATAGTGTGATCTAATCATCGCTTGTTCAATTATAATAATATAATGAAACATGGCCAGAAGTGCTGTGAAGGATATTAAAGCAAGGAGAGAGTTTTAAGGATGAGAAGATGGCTGTTTTAGTTGGTGACATCAGGGAAGACCATTTATCAGAGGCTGGAATGAAGGGAGGAAACAGCCCTCAGACGCACTCAGAGAAAGCATTCCAGGCAGAGGGAACAATAAGCACAGAGTCAGTAGCGGGAACAAACGTCATGGTTTTGAGTGGTTGTAAAGATAACGTGGTTAGATCAGAATAAACATGCTGGGGAGTGGCGGCCGCTGAGGTTAGAAATGTGGACAGGGGCTTAATGGCACAGAGGCTTTTGATAAAGAGTTAGATGCTTGGTGCGATTGGAAGCCACCAGCGTGTTTTGAGCATGAGAATAACATGGTTGGACTTGTTATTTTAAGTACAACTTTAGCTGTGGTGTGGAAAAGGACAGCAGTAGCAAAGGCCATTTGGGAGGCGACTGTAGGGCCTAAGCAAGAGAAGTCTGCTACAGCACCAGAGATGGTGGTAGGTGTTATGAGAGATGATTTGACTCAGGACTCAGGACTCCTCAGGGCTCACGACTCAGGACTTAGGGCTTCCTTGTTTTACCATTTTATTTTGAAATAATTTCAGTTTTACAGAATAGTTGCAAGAAGAGTAGAAAGAACTCTAAAATGCATTTTATTCAGTTTTGCTAATGTTTAAAACTTCACATTTTTGTATGTTCTCAGGAGCTCTGTCGCTCACCCTTACCATCTCTACTAATTTTTCTCTTTTCATTTGTGTGTTTATACAACACATGCACATATATTGCTACAAATCATATTCATATCTATGTCTATACTTTATGCTTGACTTTTGATTAGCATGTGCTAATTATACAAGCTATGTCTATGGTTCCTGTTCAGAGCATTTAAGAGATTTGAACATTAGGCAGAGAAATTTGTTCCACTAACAAAAGCAACAGCGTTTCTCAATTTCATTGGCATTTCACGGTCCTTCTTCAAATTTCAGCTTCTTATGAAATGTCATCTCAGAAGACAAAAATTGGGTCTGCAGTTATAATCCTGACACCAATATTCAGAGTTCTCGATGCAAATATTTCAGTTCTCCTGGTGTGAAAAAAAGCATATCAATCAAGATCCACATCAATGGATGTTGAGTGTGTGTGTGTGTGTATGTGTATTGTCTTGATGGAATGGTGCAAGCTGAATTTGCACCTAGTAACACTACAGTGAACTCTGAGTATTATTAGAGCATTCAAGAAATGATATGTGTGGAAACAGCCTGAAAAATGGGCAAACGGTTTCATCCTCCATTATGACATAGCTCAGTGTCACACAATGTTTCTACTACAATTTCTATCAAATAAAAATATTGCAGTGTGTCCTCCTCTACCTTACTCATGAAATCTGTCACCATATGACTTCTGGTTCTTCCTCAAAGTCAAAATGACCAGGAAAGGTAAACATTTTGAATGGATTGATGACATCAAGCAAACACAATAGCATAGTAACAACAGCACAGAGGACTTCCAGAGCAGTGTCAGAAAGTGGCAAGGAAGAGATAAGTGTGTTCAAAGTGAGAGAGTATTGTGAGGGGACTTAATAGCAATGTGTCTGAAAGGGTTTTGGCCCAGACAGGACACTGTAGCCAGGAAAACCTCAACCGGAAGCAGGAAGCCCTATCTCCCCTGCCCCTAGGAAGTTATCTGTGACGCCATCTTCCTGCCCCTGGAAATTTACATATGGCGCCAAACCTAGGACCAATGGGCTACCCTATGGGGTACCCAATGGGCTACCCTAATGCCCACCTTAGGTTCCACCCCAAACCAAGGCTATTTACATGCCCCCATGCCACGTGTCTGCCGGAGAGATCACGGGACGCCAGCGGTGGGGGTGCTGGTCATCTCTCTCCGTGTTCTCAGAATAAAGGCCGCTTTTTATTTTATACTTCTCATCTTTTGGAAATATTTTTCATCTTTTGGAAATAATCCTAGCAGTGTCTTTCACAAAAAAATTTTTGATCATAGGATATTTGATTTCATAGATTTAAGATTTTTCCTATGTTTGGAAATACAGTTCTATTTCATTGTTTTTGTTTTTGTCTTTATAAAGTCTTAGGTCATCTTTATGTTGAATCTTCCTTGCCTGCCTTTTCATTTCAACCATTTATCACTTAAAAAAAATTATGTCTTTATTCTCCTGAGGGTGGGTTTTTGTGTTTGCTTTTGCTTTTCTGTGTCCTCTTATTTTTTTTTTTTATTTTTAAAGAGAATAAAACAGAGTAAAACCAATCAAAACAAGCCAGTGTAAAAGATACAGAATTTTAAAACATTACAAAATCAACAATAGTTACCATAATGACTCTTGCTGTCTTCAAAATAGCTATAGATAACTTCAGACAGAACAAAATAGAAACAATAAAAACAAAACAATTAATGCAATAAAGGCCTTCAAAACTAGCCTATAGTAAATCCAAAACTGCTATCATAATATATCTTGCTGTCTTTGAAATAGCTGCTCCTGCCATTGGATTTGATATAATCAAACAAAACAAAACAAAACAGAATAAAACCCAACCCAACAAAACAATGGAAACAATATAGGATTTCAAAACAAGACTATAGGGAACCAACAATGGCTGCAACCCTCCGAAGGAGCTCCCCCTAGATGCCACACTGTGTACCACTATCCTCTGAACCCATGATCAGACCACTGGTCCTAGACCTGCAATGTTAGTGGAGCTTCAAAGCACCACAGGCATCCAATTGTATTTCAACTACATAGCTTCATCACAGCCTGTGTTTCTCTGGATAAACCTGTCACTTATGGCAGGGAAGGGAGGCAAAGGGAAAGGGTGTTGGTACTTCTTGTTTGCCAGCCTGGACCTGGAAGGGGCTGGGGTCTGTCTGTTCTAGTCTGGCAGCAGCCTGCACATGCCGCTGGTTCCCAGACCGGGCTTGCTTGCTGGTGTGGCTTTGTTCTCTCCACCCCAGGTCTGAGAATGGCACTGACTCATGGGGAGGGGCTGGGATCTGTTCCAGACTGTTCCAGTCTGCCAGTGACCTGCTCATGGCATTGGTTCCCCTCTGTCCTTCAGTAAATGTTCATTTGAATATATTCTTAGGTAGCTTATATACTTTGTTTTCAGTGTATATGTCTTTTTAAAAAAATTCTTTCCTATATTAATTAAAGTCTTATTAAATTTTTTCTAATTTTGACTGTATTTCTTTTTGAATTTTTGATCTAGTTGGTGTCCAGTATCTCCAAATATTTATTTAAGAATATTTTGTTAATTTTGCAATATTGTGTTACAGTTTAATTTTGTTTCATCGTCAAATACTGAATGTTTAACTTCTCTGTTCCTTTTATATTCTTAAAGCATATCTTTGTACAGAAGTGGTCTGATTATATTTCTAAGCCTTTGTTCCTAGCTTATAAGTTCTTATATCAGACAGCATAATAAAAGGCAGCTGTCTAATGAATGGTCTTGGCAGTTGTTACGGTTTGTGTCTGGATATTCCCCCAAAGCCTCATGCAGTGATACAGGCTGAATCTAGAGTTTGTGATTGATTCGTTATCCAGTGCTGGGATTATGGAGGTTAGTGCTCCACCCCCCCACCTTGGGATGGTATGATCTAAATACAATATAAGGGACAAAAAAAGTGATGTCTGGTGCTCTTTCCCTTCACTCTAATTGTTTTTGCTGTCCTCTGCTTCCATGAAGTGTTGTCCCTCTGCCATGTGCCACCCTGTCTTGGAGCCAACTCAGTGTGGACTGAAACCTCCACCAACTGTGCGTTAAATAAGCCTTTCCTCCTTGCGCTTTGGGTGTTAGGTATTTTGTCCCAGCAACAAGAGAGAAGTAACCAAGATACTGATGATGTGGTGGGAGAGGATGAGGATTTACAGGGCTGATGGCTCTCTCTCATTTCATAGAATCTTTAATTTTTCCTTTCTCTGTGTGGCACACATCGGAGGGCCACCACTGCTATATCTGTTTTCTGCCCAGAAACAATGATTTTCCATGACACTCCTCTCTAGTCTCTTGCTTTCAAGCCTGTTTCCTCTAGCCAGTGCTGTGTACTACCAAGTCCCAGAGTTATTTTTAATATTGTAGCATTCTGGCAGAATGCTTTTTCCTGAGGGTGATTTTGTCTGTGTTTGATGGAATCTCACTTCTCTTCACTTGCCTCTTCTCAACACAGCATCTAAATTCTCCTGTAACATTCTGCACTCATAGGTTGGCAGTGGCAAAGGAAGCTGTATAATAATTTTACGTTTTCTTACAAACAATTTGAAGTTCTTATAGTTGAAAGCATGGGTCACATGAAAGTTTACTAGGACTTCTTATGGACCTTCTGTTTGTTTGTTTGTCTTTTTGAGACAGAGTCTGGCTATGCAGTTCGGGTTGACCCCGAGCTCACTTTGTAGCCCAGGCTGGTCTCAAACTTGTAATGATCCTCCTGCCTCAGCCTCCTGAGTTCTGGGACTACAGGTGTGTGCCATTACGCTGGCTGTTCTGTTTGTTTTTTAAAAGATGACGCTGTGGTGTGAATTCAGGTTTTTTCAATTTGAAGGGCTTTTAAGAGGTAACTCTCTGAGTACCTGCATCACAGGTACCCCAATTGTACAGCAAGAAAGCCGCTTGTCAAAAACTGGGGCTTTAATATTAGATTTCCTAGCCTCCAAACTTGTGAGCAAAACATTTCTGTTCTTATTAAGTCATCCAGGCTCAGGTATTGTTATTGCAGCTCAAAACAGACGAAGGCAGAGGCGTGGAGAGAACCTGTATTCCAGGACTGAGGGGAACTCTCAGGATTTACTTTAAGATAGAACAAATGTGGAAGCATTGACATTTTGAATGTAGAGTGGGAAAAGCAAATAGTTGAGGTGCTTCCCACATTACTGAACAAATGGGCAAATTGTAGCCCCTTATTTAGAAGGGACAAAGGAAGTTGTGGGAAGAGGTGGCACAGGGAAGACAAAGATTTCAGTTTGGCTTCACTTTGAGATGTTTTGACACATCCAAGTGGAGCTGTTATGCAGGCAGGAGGCAGGGAGGTAATGGATGCAGTAACACTTCCATTTTTTACTAAGAAAATTTTAAAAATGGATGCATCAGGTTGATTTTGTTTTTGGATTTCTTTGAGATAGGGTCTTGCTACGTAGTTCAGACTGGACTTGAATTCACTATGTAGCCCAGGCTGGCCTTTAACTCACAGCAATTCTCCTGTGTCAGCCTCCTGAGTGCTGGAAATACAGGCATGTGACACCAGTCCCCACTCTGGGTTGATTTTAGAAAACCACTTTTTATTACTCATAAGCAGAGTCATGCTATGTTGGCAAAACTGTTTTCCAGTTATGTCCTTTACAGATTAATAGACAATTAATAACTTTTGACAGACCTAAGTGTTAAATAAGTTTTTAAAACTAAGCGCTCTATTGTCCCCATAAATTTACAAACAGAGAAAAGCAAAAAAAAAAAAAAAAAAAAAATTAATATCACAAGTAATCCTGCCTCACTGGTAGAAACAACTACCACATAGATTTGTTGCAAGAGTACTCGGATCTAATTTCACCAAACCAGCAGCTACAGTTTCTGCATTTTATCTGCAATTTCACAATGTTTTCCGTGCACTAAATCATCTCCAGGTTCTAAATATTCAGCCAACAATGGCGAGGCAGAGCCACCCAAAATACACGCTGACTTGGAAATGCGGTATTAGCCAGCAGAGCCTTTTGCCTACTGCTGTCTGGACGTGAGCAGCAACGCAGACTGGAGTCCCATGGAACCGGTTCCCTGTTGGCAGTCATCCCAGAGGATGAGAGAATAGTAGTCATGCTAGCTGGCAGAATATTGAACTGTTTTAAAACCAATTCATAATTGATCCCAAGGCAAAGCATTGTGTACCCATTAAAATATTGTATAGTGAAGAAATAAAGTATATTTGAAACCTTATGAAACAGTAACCTCCATTGGTATTTTGGCCTATAGTACTCCAGATTATATATCCAGATAAACAATCAGATTACCATAGGGATGGGGGACAGATTCATCAGCTGTTACTTATTAAAACCATGATTTGTGTTTTCATCTGAGGCAATCAGGAACTTTAAAAGTTGTTTTTGAAAAAGAAAATAAAAAAGCTGCTAAGAAAGACTCCTTCACTTGGGCTGGTACTTGCCCAGCAGATAATAAAAGCAGAAAAAAGCCTGACCTTCGTTTGTGTCTGTCTCCTTTATTACCATGAAGTTTTGGGTCAGATCCTTGCTCAGCTCTGGCAATGTATGTCTGAAAACTGTCAGAACAGGGCTGATTACTCCTACACCTACATAGACTATCCCATTCCCTTCAAGATGAGGACATCAAGATAAGATTTACAGGAACATTCAGCTATCGGTGGGCACACAGAGATCTCTAGTTATTGCCCTAAACTAAACCAAAGAGCACCTTGGATTCCAACAGAGCCTCTACAAAACTGAGGCTGCCCCAAACAAGCACCTCATGAAAACCAGGTAGCTCCTCGGTTGATGAGACCTTCTGAGCTTCCTCACAAGCCAGCACTGAGTAATGATCATCAAGGGCCCTTAGCCCACCTCAACAAATCCATAAAGCTGGTCTCATTCCTTTGTTAACAGATCAGTCTGATCCTCATCAGACCTGTGCCCACTTCATCTCAAGATGATATTCCTTTCCTGTTTTTCTTACTTTCTAACTTTGCCTAATAAATCTGTTTACACCTGTCTCTGATGAGTCCTAAAATGCTTTTCTGTGATATAACAAGAACCTGCCTCGGCTGAGTTAATCATGCTACTGTTGCCCCCTCTTTAGAGATCTAGTAGGATTCGATAGTATTTTGGAGCAATTTTTGCTAACTTGATTGTACTTGAAGTTTTGCAAAATGATAAGCTAAGACAAGTGCCTTGAGGCAGAGGTGCAGGAGTTCAGCATGATTCTTGGATTTCATTTAAGACAAGGAAGCAGCTCCAGAAATCAAAGAATGCCTGCCTCTACTCATTAATAAACACAGCTGGGAGGGGATGGCGGGGTCAAAACCCAGAACTTGCCCTTTATCCTTCGTCCCAGTGGAGATGTGTGTTGCTTTTGTGACCCCCATTGCTGGTGTTTCTGAAGCTTTCCTTACGGGCTTTTAGGAAGCACCCTTCGGCTGTGTGTTCAAAGGTAAGATTTATCTGATTTGTTTTGCATTGATGAGAACTGTTTTGGGAACTAGAGTTAGACTATTTCTAATCTCAGTGAATTCCCTGAACTCTGGGAAGCTTAGGAGGAATGCAAAGGTTGGGTCCAGCCTCGACAATTTAGTGACTTAGGTAAACGCTGTCTCAGAATGAAAAATTTAAAAAATGGGGGGGGGGGCTATAAATGGAGCTCACTTAATTGTACCCTGTCTTAGTGGGTGGCAAACTGAAAGTAACTTTAAGGAAAAAATAAGTGTAAATGGCAGTGATGTAGAAAATGCCTGTTTTAAAATATGATAACTCGTTTCTTATTCCAAAGTTTTTCTCTGTGTGCTTAAAGTCAGCTATTCTTGGGCCGAGCATTTACCTCAGCAGCGTAAGTGCCTGCATGGCAAGTGCAAGGTTGTGAGTTTGATTCCTGGTAGCAAAAATGAATAAAAATAAAGTGAGCTCTTCTTTATTTCAAGTGATATTTGATGTCTCTTTGCTTTTAAAATCAGGGATTTCAAAGGAGACATAAGGGTGATATCATGCTGCAATTCCAATAGCCAAATCTCCTTTTTAGCTGCTGGGAATACCTATAGCAAGCATTTTCTGTGAATCTAATTTCATCATAAAAAGTGAAGTCTTGGAGTCATCAGAAAAGGAAAAGGAATGAGTGATGTGCCTGAGTGTGTGTGGATAGGCTAGAGACTTTGCTTTAGGTCTAGAATGGTGGCAGCCAGAGGAGGAGAAAGGAAAGAAGATGCCAAAAATGTAACAAAGGACAAAGAAAAATGAAAAATGTAATAAAGGACTCACCTTCCTCCACTCTGTTATTTCCCATCTTAGATCTTTGTATGTTTCCACAAGGGGCTTACCAGCATTTGCTATTATATTTATTTGTTAAACTTATTCTATTAGTCATTCTTATTTTATGTCTGAAATGTATATTCTCAGTGGACATGGACATTACTTGTCTTTATGTAAAACTGAAGTCTAGCACCTAATTTGTTGAATGAACGTATATTGATTATACCAAACATTTGACGTATATTACCTCTCAACCTAAGTTCTAGAATAATTGGGACTAGAAACAGTTGTTGTTTTTTTTAACATCCCTTTCTAAAGACAAAAATTTATTGATGACTAGTTTCAGTCCATATCCAAGAGGTTAGAGGATGGCATTTGAAATGTGATCCTCATAGCACCCTGGATGTGAGCCACCATTTCATGATTTTTATGAAGTTCTCATATATTTCTCTGACAAACTGAGAAGCTGAAAACAGTCTATCAAGACTGCATCCAATCTGTGAGGAAGATTGATCTCCACAGCGTGACCACAGCTATTTAACGTGTCCATCATTTCAGTCATCCTGTCCTAAACCTCACCCAGAGCTGTTTTTCACTCTTGGCAGAATTCAGAAATCATGCAAATCAAACAGTGTTCTAGAGCCCACATCCAAAACTACACAGCCTACCTCAACATGTCACTGCTTCCTAAATATAGTACCTGAAATTTTACAGCTTGGATATTTATCTTAAAAGTTTCAAACCCTGGAACAACAAATAGTAGATATGTCAAAAGTCAGAGAAACTGGTGAGATATTACTTGCAGAAAATTACTGCTTCACAGATGTTAATTCCTCTTCTCTGTAAAACTGCTCTAAGGAAATCTCTAGGTCTTTCTCTAACTTTTATCCCTTGGTTACAATTTTGTCCTGTATAACGTATTTCCCCCTTTAAAAGCATGTAAAATGACAAATTTACAGCCTTGCTTTAGTAATGTAACACTAGCACCCTTAGAGGTATGACAGCCTTTAGAAGTGTAAATATTACACTTCTAAATATTACTCCTGGCCATCTCCAGGGAGAGAAGCGGATCTGAGGCACTCTGGCCAGCATTAGTGCTGGGGCTGCCCTGGGGAGACCATAATCTAAGACAAAAGGGTCTGAACTCTGGAAAACCAGGCAGAATAATGACTAGAAAGGAGGCAAACCAGGAAATACACCAGTGCCCCTGGTTTGTAGTTGAGATCCTTAGTAAAGGATAAGCACAGTTTGGAATAGAGCTTACCTAAAGGGACAGAACTGTCTTATGTAAAAGAATTCAATCTATTTCAGAATTTTCTGCAGCCCGTCATCTTTTAGATATGCTTCTTTTTGTGTGTTGGTCATCCTGTCTTTTATTTCAATTGGTCTTCCTCCAGGGGACAGATTTTGCTGTGGAGTGCCCCAGGTTTGTGCCACCTACCTTACATACCCCAGAAAATAAGGAAGTCTCTTTCACAGTGTCCATATGTAAAATATCAGAAATGCTGACTAGATTTAAGAGATGTTTTCCTTTGAGGGTGTCATGATTTTGATGAGGGATATGAAATGCCATGATTGTCCAGGGTCTAGGTTATATCACTTTGGATTTCTATGCCTCTTGTGCCTGTATGCTGGTAGGGTTTCATACTAAGAGTTTTTTTTTTCCTGGTGATGTATCCCAGGGGGTCTGTTGGATGGGCTACATTTGGCTTTGGTTTCATGTGTGAGGTTTTATTTAGTGGCTGTGTAGCTTCATTTGTAGTCAATGTTGGTGGTATCTGCAGGTGTCTCGGGGTGGAGGCCTCAAGGTTGTAGGATAACACATGTCAGCTGGGATGAAGCTCTCTTAGGAGGAACAGCTGTGCTGATATCCCTGGTCATGGAGTGCTGGGATGCAGGTGTGAACTACTTTTCAATTTCTGTAAGTCGCGTTGGAACAGGCACGTGCAGGCAAGATATGGCTGAGGTGGCAGCAAAGGGTGCCATCTTGTCAGTTCCCACGAGGTACTGGGTGGGGGCTGCCCTTGTGGGCTGTGCTTTCTGGATGCTTCTGAGGGCTTCAACAGGTTAATACAGATGACAGAAGTTTTTTTTTCAGAACAGAACAATTTAAACAACATAGTGTTTCACCACAAGACAACCTGACATAACAGTAGCTACCATAGTGTCTCTTTCCTTGAAATATTTGAGTATAACTTCATACACTATAGTATCAAACATAACAAGACAGTGTAAAACCATTCAAGAGAATGACAGTATTACAGGGTATTAAGAACCAACCAATAGAAAATGAACAATAGTTACTATATTATCTCCTTGTCCATAAAACATTTTGTTTATACTATCACATATAATAAAATCCAATAAGATACAACATGATAAAACCAATGGAGACAGAAGAACAAAAGCTTCAAAACAAGATGATATTAAATCAGCACTAGCTATTACAATGATGACAGAAATTCTAATGAGGGTAGTTGGTGATGCAATGGTTAATCCCACGCCTGAAAATTAACCAGCCACAATTTTTTTTCACACGTGTGTAGGTATGCACAAAAATATTCATTGCCACATTGTTGAGAGATTAGAAAGTTAAAAGGACTCTAAGGATTTGCCAGTAGAAGACTGGTTAATATGATCTATCTATATAATAAATTATTAGATAACCTTGGAAAAGATTGCAGTAAACATTGTATGTAGTGTGGAAAGAGTTCCATTAGAAATTATGTGACAGATAGAAAATAGCAAAACAGTAGATATAATATGATCTCCCCTTTCTGGGTGTGAAATTATAGTTGTTTATATATGTATGTGAATATAAATAGATATATATAGATATATGTATCTGTATAATGTCTTAAAATGTATGCATAACTCTTTAGGGAGTAGGTAGGAGTGGGGGCTACTTTTTGTATGTTCTTGTATTTTAATAATCATGCATTATTTCCATAATATAAGAGAGGATTAGAGTGTTTTTAGAGTGTTTTCAAATAAATTTCAGAAGTGCTAAGTGGCTACTTATTCTTCATAGTAAGTAGCACATGTTCTTTGGAAACATTCCTTTAGATGATCAACTTACTATGCTTGCCTCGGCAGCACATGTACTAAAATTTGAATGATATAAATAAGGTTAGCATGGCCCCTATGCAAGGATGACGTGCAAATTCATGAAGTGTTCTGTATTTTTTTTTTTTTTTTTTTTGGTCTTTTTCCTTTTTATCGGTACCGGGGATCGAACTCACGACTGTCTGCTTGCAAGGCTGGCGCTTATGCCACTGAGCTAAATCCCCAGCCCCTCATTCTATATTTTTTTAATGGAACTAAAAACAAGATCAACTTATGTACAGATGTATTCTGGCTTGAAATTTAAAATATTACTACCTTAGAATTCACACCAACTTAGGGATAAAAATGTTCCCTAACAATCTGTTATTGAAGAACCTTGGGCATATTTTTTTCCTCTGAAAGTTTTAGTCCTTTTAGTTTCTCCATAAGTAACCCAATGATGGGTTCAGATTTATTCCCCAAAGTTATTTTAGTCTATAAAATTGTAAAACCATCTTGTCATAACGTTTTTTCCTGCTCCACACTTAGTTTCTACGACAAAAGCTTTTAAGACAGCCAGCATCCGAGTGGCTGTACTAGCCACGCAGCATCCAGGGTGCTCATCTGTTTGTTGCACATGTGAATGAGGTAGCTTACAGATGCCAGGTGGCTGCGAACTGTGGGTAACTGAATGTTCTTTGCTCGACATGCTGACTATCCACTATGGTTGATGAAGTCTCTGATATCAATGCTGATATTAAGAATCTTTCATATCTTTCAGTATTCCTGTAATAGTGAAAAATTAGCCTCCACATAAGAGTATTATTGCAAACACCCTCCTAGAAATAGTTTTTCTTTTTCCTAAGAGGAGCCCAGTAAACATGGCAGTCTATAGTTATGGAATTTCAGGCAGTAAAACTATTCATTGAACAAACCTGGGTTATGCTAGGGAAGAAAAACTATTCTTGTTTTCTTCCCTTTTATTCTAAAGTACCTGTTTTTCCAAAAACCTTTGGTTTTTTCCCCCACTTTTTGTCTGATTGGTTCCCATAGCAACAGCAGCCTGCAGGGTAGGGCAATCTGTGTGTCTGGGTCATATGTAAGTTGACTGTTTGTAAGGGAACTGCCTCTACAGCATTATTCACATATCTAGACATCTAAGTAGGTCACTTGTCTCCTGTAATGATGAAGTATTTGTTCTCTTAATAGACTAGCAAGAAGAATGTGTTTAAGGATTTTGCTCCTCAGAAACACTATTGAGAGAAAACAAAGCTATGGGTGAAGAAGACGAACAGATGGGACTAGCGTAAGTACATGAGAGCCAAGAAAGAGTTGTAAGAATGGTAGAAATCGCTGGGGATCTAGCTCAGTGGCACAAGTGCCTGCCTGGCAAGCGCAAGATCGTGAGTTTGATCCCCAGTACCAAAAAAAAAAAAGTAGAAATTCTGAAATGACTCAACAAGGAAGAGTGAACTATCACGATAGCATTATCCACCTCAAGTACTATATGAAAGAACATATTTGGTGGCTGTTCTTTCTGAAAGTTCTCAACAGGTTGTTAGTGGTTTCTTCAGTTGGTACAGTATCCCTAAGGTTACGGCACTGACATGACCTTCTGCATCAGCTCCGGTGCCCAGTAAATACTGAGCAAGTGACACAGTCAACAGTGTCAGCTAAAAACAGTTCATATTCAAAATGTTTAGCAGATCAACTCTAGTTACTCACTGAGTCATTCAGCACATGTTTTCTAGTGATGACAGTAAAATTTTGTTACATCTACCATGAACTAGGCCTTGGAGTTGACTGACCATTTATGGATGAAGCTTTGCACCAAAACAAGTTCCTAGTATCAGTTCTAAGTTCTAAGTTCCTGGTATGAGGTATTTTATCACAGCGATGGGAAGGCAGCTAATACACATATTTCTTTAATCCATTATTTTTATTGTTACTGATAACTAAATCATCCCCCTTTTGATCTTTGGTAGCCTTTTCTATTTTACTCCAGAGTCATCGAACACATCTTAAGGAATCTTTGTTAACTTCTTTACTGTCTTGTATGACAAGAAATCTCAACTCATCTTTTTTTTATTCCTATCCAGACATGTAACTGTTCATTTCTCCAAAGATCCCTGGTTTCCCTAATTGGAAAATAGCATTTGGAGATTCCTTGCTTTTATTTTGGTAACTAGTTTTTAAAAAATGACTTTTTCTGGATTCAGCCTGTGGGTAGTGTGTTGGTGACCTCTGATCAGATTGAGAGTACAGGTTGAGTGTTCCTTATTGTACAAATCTGAAATATTCCAAAATCTGAAACTTTTTAAGCACCAACATGATGTCACAGGGAAAATTTTCATACCCAACCTCATATAATGGTCACTATCAAAACACAGCTTTACTGAAAACATATAAAACCACATGAGGGTTGGGAGGTACTCAGTGGTATGTGTGAGACCCTGAGTTCAATCCTCAGTATCACAAAACAATAAAGTGTATATAAATCATAAATAAATTTTATGTTTATGCTTGTGTTTCACCTTCAAGAGACTGTATTAAATGTGTTCAAATGTTCTAGTATCTGAAAAAAATCAAACATGTTTGTAAGGATTTTAGATAAGCAATCAAACTATAGTAGCTATGAGAATAAAAAGGAGAGACTAAGACATTTTGGGCTCGGTTGCTTGGATATTTGGGAAGGAAAACACTTGATGTTTCAAGTGAGAAAGTTCTAATTATAAACTATCATGGTTTGAAAATTAATGTCTGCTTAATATATTACACACATGTTTAGCAGTGACAAGTGATGTGGTCCTCTACAGGTGAAGAAACCGATGCTCAGAAGAGCATTGTGTGACTGGGTCTCTGTCTTACTTCCGGTGAGGTCTTCTTGCTGGTCTCCATTCCTTGCTTGTCCCCGGGATGTTGGTTTGACCACTCTAAAAAGGGAAAATAACAAAGGCTTGATAAAGAAGAGTACAGTTTTTCTCTCTCAATAATAAGCAGATGGTGCAGGGCTTGTAGACAATTTTGTTTCAAGAGAACATTCAGGGGCTCACATGTGTTGTTCAGCGATTCCCTGGAATTGTACCTTCCTCCACATATTTGATGCTGACTTACTTGCATCAATGGGAAGGGAAAAATAAGAGCAGAGGGGAGTTGCCAAAGTGGCTAGCTTTGGAGAAGTGAAGTTTTAAGAAGTTGGAAGTATCACTCCTATTCACATCCTATTGGCAAGTCCTTGGTCACATGGCCATGGCAAGGAGAAAGGAATGCAGGTCTGTGACAGCCCTGGATGGGGAGGGGAGTTGCATTACAAAAACACAGAAAGGGTGAATTGGGTGTTAGGGGGGGATATTCAGCAATCTCTTGCACTTTTCCAATGCATGCCTCTTCCCTTTGAAAATCTAATGTTCTTTCTAGGGAGGAAAGGAATCTTATAAAGAAGCGCATTGAATTTCATGTGGAGGCGCCGTGGATAGCCGAGGAGTGGGTTTGATGTGAGCATCCCAGGGGCAGTACCTAAGTCCAGCCACACACCAGAAGCAGGAGAGGTAGGAGACTGGGCAGGGGGAGGGGGTTGACATTCATATTTGGCTATGTCACAAAAGAACTGCCAAGAACAAATTCTTTAAGTCCTGGTTTAATTCTAGATCAAAGCCTTCAAATTCATTCTGCCAAAAACATTTTGTTTCCTAAGACGATAAGCCCTTGAAATCACTGCAAATGTCCTTATTAAAACATGAGTGCATTTTAAAAATAAATAGCATGGCGTTTCAGAAAACAAGTTCTACTCCTGTGTTTCTCAGAGTAGGTGGTTCATTTATATCTCACTCCTAACTGAATTTAAGTACAGTAAGCTGGAATTGCTTGGTTCTTTCCAGCAATCCATAGGTATTTTCAACTGCTTTTCAGTGTGACTGGTATTGTGTAAGAGCCTTTTGACTTGTTTGTTCCTGCCACCAAAGCTTGAAGCAATCAAGCACAGTAGTCTTCTGTATTGATCTTTCACATATGGGGAGATCAAAATACCTAAAGAATGTTTTATTTTCTAGGAGCTTTTCCTTGCTAAGTCCTTTATTTTCTGGTTAGATGAATAAGTCTTTGTCCCCTTTTAGAAAAAAAAGAATCAAAGTACACTTTATAAATGATTTAAATGCTACTGCAGCTGTCTTCTGGCCTGCAGAAAGACAAGGAGAAATTCATGCTTACTAATTGCATGAATTTGGGTAGGTCACTTGACTTAGCATAGTCCTTGTCTAAAATAAAGGAAAATCATCTGTACCCTACTGAATTGTTACAGAAATAAACCACAGTTCCATTATTTACTTAGAAGTGTGTTTTTGGTAAAGTTACTCAAGCTCTCTGTGCCTGTTTTTTAATCTGCAAAACAGGATGAAAGCAGCTACCATACAGGAAAGGGTTTCATGAAGGAAAGAGCTCAGGAGAGTATGTGACACAGAGTAAGCCTACATCAGTGTTATTTGCTGTGATTCTATAAACATGGTAGTGGACACCAGTGTGCATGGGCTTGACTTGGGACACTGACAAGATGGGAAGGGGAGTCAGTCTTCAACCTAATTATTCAGCCTAGGCTGGAATTCTTACGTGTTTCTGCATTAGTGGGGACTATCTGAAGGCTGCTTGGAGGGCAGAGCTCCCCTGACCTTTGACGGTAGCTGATAGGGTTGTGTCTGAGAGAATCTAATGCCACTGAGTTTTGGGGGAAAAAGAAAAAAAAATCCTAGAATAAAAACATCTTGTTGAGGCAAAACAAAATGGCACGCATATGGGAAAATGGAAACAACTCCAGAAATAGATTCTAGTGAAATGCATTCAATGGTAAGTTTTAGTTCTCTGGGGGAAAAAAAGGGGAGGGGGGCACTTTTCAAAGTTTTATTTTTTATAAGCTTTGGTAACATGACCCTCCTCCCCCTCATCATATGTGTGTTTTAGTTTTCATCACTGTAAAATCCTTTCTGGGATGAGAGGTTCAAACATGTTAAACTGATATGGTTCTCTGTGTTAGCAGGAAATAGCAGCAGATAAAATGTTTCCACAGGGGACTGTTATCAAAGACTCGGTGCCAGGAAGATGTCATCCAATAGCTGTCCAGATGTGCTCGGCCCATCTGCAGCCCGCCACTCCCCGCTTCCCTGCGTTTCAAATTCAACACCTTCAGGGATAGTTAGTCCAAGAGACCGGCACTGCATTTAATTTGGGAAAACACATTTTTAGGTCACAAAACTGTGGTGTCATTTCCTTTTTAGCTTTCTTTAGTTCTCCTCCTGCTCCAGGAAGATGGAGATTTACAATTACATTTTATTGTTACTTTTCTCCATAGCACAGATGATAAATTATTGAGAAGCCATTTGGTCTATAAAAATGAAATACACAGCATCTCCCTTCCCCAGCGGGCTGCTGGGATTGGCTCCAGCTGCTGTGAACTGTGAGGGCCTTGCAGATGATAAAACAAAGCAAATCCTTTACACATTAAGGCCTTCTTCCTTTATAGGGAGATAGAGGGAACAATTTCTGATGGGAGTATGGACTGTCTGGATGCTACTGAAGGCCACAGTACTAAATGTGAGTGTTGGAATTCAGAACATGTGCCTATATTTTAGCTAGTTCTTATTTTGGATTCTAACCAGAAATAGTCAGAGCTTCCAATAGTTGACATGATTTTAAATCTTTCTTATCCTCTTCTACGGCAATCGTAACTCTGTGGGTCACCTACCCCCTTAAGGTGCTGTAAAATTATGAATTTCCCATCTCTTGGCGCCCACCTACTACAGTTATGCTTCATGCACAAACACAAAACCCTTCAGTGTTAGTGAAGCTGCCGACCACCCAAATGCTAAATGCTTTACAAATCTATGAGTAACTAAGATTTCATTAGATACCTATTTTCCTATGTTGTTTTTTTTTTTTTTTTTTTTTTTTTGTCTTTTTCGTTTTTATCGGTACCAGGGATCGAACTCACGACTGCCTGCTTGGAAAGCAGGCGCTTATGCCCCTGAGCTAAATCCCCAGCCCCTATTTTCCTATGTTTTAAGCACAAATGTTAGATTACACTGGTAAATATTCTTTCAAAAATAGAAAATTATGTGATCTTTGACCTTGCCTTTTATGTAAAAATAAAAATCAATTGAGATTTGTTTTGTTGTGTTTTTCAATACTGAAAATTATCCTTGGCACACTGAGGTACATCTCCAGCCCTTTACAAAAAAAAATTTTTTTGAGATAGGTCTCACCAAGTCCCCAAGTTGCTCAAGTCTCATCTTTTAGCCTCAGTCTGCTGGAGTGCTGGGGTTATGTGCCACCATGTGCAGTTTGAGATACTTTTAAAAGTATGATTTAATTTTTAATTTTATTTGAAGGTACTTACCTAAGCTCTTAATTTTTAAAACTCAGATTTAGGATGATGTCAAATTGATGATTCAGTTTTCCACGAGCCTATAATGCTTGAGCTGACTTAGTGAGCAAGCCCCTCAAGATTCCAGGATCTCTAGATAGATGGACAGTTAAGACTCAGCCTCATGGCCAGGGATGTGGCTCAGTGGGAGAGCTATGACCCGGCCTTGTATGAGGCTCTGGGTTTGATCCTCAGCACCATAAAATATTTCAACCTCAACATCTAAAAATTCTGGGATTTGTATTACCACTTTTGCTGGGTTATTCTCAGAGTTAAAAGTAGTTCCCATAAAGTGCTCTTAGATACACAGTAAGTGGCAGCTCTTTTGTTATGATCATCTAGCCCTCCCAGCTATGGAATTGTAAAAGGAGGCAAAAGGTGTTTATTTCACTTGCAGAGACATCAACCATAATGTTGGGTGGAGAGCACCATCCTAGCAAGTGGAACTGAGGAAAGACATGGTCATCTGCCAGTTGTTAATGCAGTTCCCACGTTGGAACAGTGCCTCTTCGGAAATACAGTACAGATTTCTAAGGATTAAATTATGGAATCTGCAAATTTCTGTTGCTCAAAAATGTATAAGTAATGTGAAGAGATCATTAACTATCAGTAGAGGTTCTCAGTAATTTTCTGTTGCTCAGAAAAAATGTAAGTAATATGAGGAGGGCCAGGGATTTAGCTCAATGTTGTAAGTGCCTGCTGGCAAGTGCAAGGTTGTGAGTTCAATCCCTGATATCAAAAACAATCCCCCCCCCCCCGCTGGGGATTTAGCTCAGCAACATAAGCACCTGCCTTGCAAGTGTGTGGTCGTGAGTTCGATCCCTGGTACCAATAAAAAAGAAAAAGACAAAAAAAAAAAAAAAAAAAAAAAAATCCCCCCCCCCAAAGAAAACCCAAAAAACAAAAAATAAGTAATATGAGGCAATCATTAACTATAAGTAGAGGTTCTCAGTAGGTATAATAGTTCTGCAAGCAAATTATATCTCTGAGTACAAATAGATTGCTTATGGTTGTTAGAATTAGGAAGAAAATGATTTCTTAATGTTTTTCAGCTTCTCAAAACCATAAAAAAATTGATTTTTGGTTTTTCTGAGTGGAGAAAAAAAGCACAGGACTGTTACCAGAGTGCATCTAATTAGTTTTAAGGTTGATTGCTTGGTCTTTGCAACCTTACTCTGCTTTCGGTAATTAGAGACAAAAATCTCCTGTACTTCCTCATGCTGCTCATGATAAACAGCAAATGACTATGGCTAGTCCTTCCTCGACAAACTGCTAACATAAGAAGCGCACTCTGTGTCAGGCCTTGCAAAGTTGGGGGCAATTCTTATCTGAACTTACATAGGAAGAGGCCGTATGAGCTCTTTCTACTTTGTCCCATGTCTGCAAGAAAAAGGGGACACAATAGAATCCTGCGTGTTTAATTAAGATCCCAAATTCTGAATCTGTTTTTCTCTTCATTTAAATTCCGCCTATTTTTGTTCTGTTATATGTAAACAGGCTCAGTAACACTGTTGCCAAAAGCCCAGGTGCTTTCTGGAAAGATAGATGTTTTATGGATTGTCTGGCCAAATTTGTCTCCTTGGGAAAGAGGATGTAGCTTGGATCTAAGTGGATACTGAGTTAACCTTTCCCATGAACCTTTCTCCATGTTCACAGAGAACTCTCAGGACAGTGGATTTACAAGAGGGCACATTTTTGGAAAACTGAAATTCTATAGGTTCTTGCTTTCTGAGCTTCTGTGGTTTCTTTTGGCTCTCTTTACCCTCCTCTGCAGTTGATACAGATGCAAAGTCTGCACAGTAAGGTCCATGGATGCTAATTTTCTCACCGATTAGTATCTTCCAGGGTCACTGTGGAGGTTGAGCAGGACTAACAGCAGGAGCTGCCATTCACACAAGCATAGGGTGGTGTTTAGGGCCCTTGGAGTTGAGCACAGCTCCTAACGTGTGCTAGAAACGAAGAAAGGCAGAGTTTGGGATTCCATCTGTTGTGGTAATTATACTTTAGATTTGGCTTTTGCTGGAAGAAAATGGTGTTTCCTCTTCTTGAGTTTCTGCAGGACAGAAACAGTGAAAGGTCTTCACTCAGAATTCTAGACATTAGATAACAACTGTGTTCTTCAGAGCTGGTTCACTGAAATCTTGAGCGATTAGAAACACTGTGGATGTGGTTTGGGGCCAATGCTGCAACATGGCTCCTGCCAGTCTCACTGGGTCAGTTCCGTGGGACTGGATGATAAAGTAGGTGCAAACTATTCATTGCTGAGTGAGGAGGGAGTGAGGCAAACTTGCAGTGTGGTCCAAGCTGGCCCCAGCAAGGCTGCAATGAAACATGTTTACTTCTCATACTTTTCTACCAGCAGTTTCTAGTGCAACTGTTTTAGTTGGGAGAGAGAAAACTCAATGTTATATGACTTAAATTAAAACAAAGAGGATTTATTGGCTCTATTACTAAAAAGTACTGTATTTAAGGGGCTTAAATGATATCATTAGGACTAATCTTTCTCTCTCCTCTATCCTCTTCTCCATCTCTCAGTTCTGCTTTTCTCTGTGTTGGTTTTATGCCTGGGCAGATCTTTTGAATCTGACATCCAGCCTTTCCAGGTTTACACTGCTTAATACTAGTATTCTCAAAAGAAAGAGAATGTGCCTTGGTAATCCCAAAGGAAAGAAGCACCAAGCTTTACAATGAAAACAAACTCACACCACAACTTTAAAAAATGAAACAAAACCCAAAGGACTGTGTCTCCTTGATGGGGGGCTCATCACTGAGACACTTGCTCTGGTTAAAGGAATGGAACCCGTGATTGGCAAGGCCTGAGTTAGTGTGTCTGTGTCAGGGTTCGGAAATGTACATCCTAAAACAAGTAGACTCTGAGGGCTGGAGGGCTGGTCTCTGGAAAGAAAGGAAGCTGCTATCCCTAGAAGAAGGAAGGACGTATATGTGAGTGGCGTAGCAGCAGTCATAAGATCATCTCTATTCATCTTTTCTGCATCTACCATATAGGTGGCCAGTAGTGGGCTGGGCCTTCCCAGTGCCCTCTTCTGATGTGTGTTTTTCTCAAGGAGTATTTTCCTTTTTAGGGTCACTTCTACCATTTGTTAAGTCTATATGTGCCAAATTTAAAGGCCTTGAAAATATCAAACCTGAACAAACATTGCTGTCATTTATTTGTATCACCTTTCCATTATACTTCATATTGTTCACATCATCTGCAGCTGAAGTTGTCTCCTCTGTTGATTTTATGACGTGGTCCTCTTGTTTTCTTTTTACATCTCTGATTCTGATGGATCCTTTTGGCTGGCAGCACATGAAGTTAACCCATAGAGTTTTTTAGAATTCTTTTTTTTTTGTCTTTTTCCTTTTTATTGTTACGGGGATCGAACTCGCGACTGCCTGCTTGCAAGGCAGGTGCTTATGCCGCTGGGCTAAATCCCCAGCCCCGCCATAGAGTTTTTTAAATCACTAGATTGTTTTCAACTTTGCTTTCTTGATAGTTCTAAGATATAGCATCTTCCTATCTCCACCAACTTTAAGGGCTAATGACCCATTAGTGTGGTGCTGTCATCTTTCCTTATAGCTTTTTTTGTATACCTTTAAAAAAAAAAAGCACTAATTTTTAATATTATTTATTCTTAGTGCATGTTTATAGTGCAAAATGATTACATTCATCATAGGGAATTTGCACATGTACATAACACACTTTAACCACCTACAGGCCCCATTATTTAAATACCAAATGACCAAAAATGCATATTTTTAATTAATTTTTATAAGATACCAGGAAATATAAAAGTAACAATTTTATCACATTTATTCAGTAATATCTGCATGTGTGGTATTCAATAGACAAGCCAGTGTTATAATCTGGACCACAGTGTCTAGGCTCATTCCAAATTATTTTTCCATTATTGTCTTTCTTTGAATGAGATACATTACACTGTTGGGTTGGCCTTTCTTTTCTGTGGGTGGTATAATTTCAATAATATATCTACCCAGTAAACATAATGGTGAAAACACTGATGATGGATGTACTGGTTGGCATTTTGTTATCTTGTATTTTTAATTATCTGGTATATTGATTGGTCTCATCAACAAGAGAAAAGTAAACACCTGACACCCAAAATTAAAGAAGGAAAGGTTATTTAGCTTACAGTGTATGGAGGTTTCAGTCCATAATCAGCTTCCCCCAAGGCAAGGTGGTATGGCACAGGGGCAATACTTCCAGACGGCAGAACACAGCCAAGCAACAAGAACACAAGTTGGGGGAACAAATCTCTTCTCCTTCCTCATACTGTAAGCAAGTCCCCCTCAACCTGCAATGTAGCAGTTACATCATTTTGGTGCCGTCCACTTTC